GAAGCGAAACAGGATGCAAACAAACCCAATAATACATCATCTTCCGGGAACTATAGAAAACGAAAAAAGAAAAACCTTCACGCAAAATACGTACATCTTGCACCACCTCTCGGCTATGGATGTGCAGAATTATGCCCAGGAGTACGCGTTTGTAAAGTTGCGCAATGGGCTGTCCACATTTAACAGAATCTCACTTACCATACAGAAGTACGGTCACATTATAAGCGCATGATTTCAGCACTAAATTAATTAATCGTCTGGAAATAAAATAATCTTACACTTATCTGGACTTATCTGTCTCCTTACACGGGCTTCACATTTCCCTCAGTAAGCGCCCTGTCATTATAATTAAATTAGTCATATTCTGATCAATCAGTCAACACTCGCACGCACACAAGTCGCTATTGAGCTGATCCGAATATTTGCCAAAAACACAGAAGACAGGAAATTATTTTATTCACACCTTTTTATGGTAGTCACTTCAAATTTTATATCTTTACCTTCAGAAGCCTTCCACTTATCTTTATGACATTATTTTATTCGCTTTATTTACTTCCAATAATTTCTTTAATAGCGAACTCGTGGGAACATCTAATTATTTTGTACATCGGTTTCTTTTATCAAGTTTCAGCATTCTTGTGAGAGGGCGAATGGCAGTAGGAGAAAGGCTTAAACATGTTTTTGTTCTCTTGCCTACAAGACTGCTCTTTCGAGCTTTCGAGCAATATAGAGAAATGTCATGTAGTGGAATGCACACATATTCCTCCTTAGAATTCACACCTGCCACATTTAATGGTTAAGCTTCTGCTGGACAGATTTTTCTTCTTATTTCCACACTGGCCCTCAACTGTTCTCGTACTGAGGGGCAGCTGTGTTTGAAGGCGGAAGTCAATCTCCGGGACATGGAAAAAGTCTTTCTCTGTGAACAATGTAATTTAGTTGCCATATTTTTTAACATTCAAATATTTAGAAGACTTAGTAGATTTTCTAGAATGTAAAGCTATCCCTGTAACAGGCCAATGAGATCCATAGGTTTGTCAGACTTTGAGGGTTCCACATTATCTAGACATTCGGCTCACAGACGGCGGTAAGGTTGTCAGCCTTAGGCGCCGGCCGCTCTTTACTCCCCGAAAGATTCCTGGTTCTCACATCTGTTAGGGGCTGATTGGATTAGGCTGGAAGGATTAGGTCAGTTGAAAGAGAAATGCATTGAGCTCATCGGGACCCGAATCCACGACCTTCCGGCCCCTAGCATAGCACCCCAACCAACTAAGGTACCGCAAAAGAAAAAAATATATATATGTATATATATTGCCAGCACTTCCAGGTAAATGTGCAATATTTATTTCTTGATATTCCTGTCTGGTGTGAAACACACCATTTACTGAATTGTAAGGAATGTATGATCTTAAGCAAAGGAAGAAACCCGTCTCTCTCTGGCTGCTATGTGGAGAGATTCTATGAAGATTTATTCGCTCTTAAAATTAAGCACGTAGGCTAAGAAGATGCACAATATTCTAACACTGCGCATGCGTACTCTTGACTTCTAACGTATTTCTTACAGCTGTCAGCACTGATTCTTGTGTTCAATCCAGGTGAACGTTTACAACCGATGCAAGTATGATAGACACACAGTTATCATAGAAGGAAACTCAGATAAAATCGACCACTTACGCTGTGAAATTTGAAACTTATTAAAGTCGAAATAAAATTTCAGACATCAAATTTTCTTACTCTAAAAATTGTTGTACTTATCGCAGTGCTTATAATTATAGGCCTATTTTTTCTTGAATATGTTCATAACGACAGAGCTAACAAATATATATAAGCAATAAAACTACAGGAGAGTTGCTGGAAGTCTGAACAGTGAACACTCTCGCCCGACTTTAGCCTATTACGTGACCTGTACTCACGAAATATACGTTTTATTTTAATACAAACATTTACGTTCAGCTATGCGCAGATTTCGTGCGCGACAAGTTATTACGTGTATTTCCTATTGAAACACATAGGCAGCTCAACACTAATACACGTAATAGGCCCATCTACAAGTCGCAGTATTACAGGACTCATTTTCACGCCCACTTGCAGGATGAAAGTAAAATTCAACACAGCACGACATTTCCTGTCTTCGAAAATAAAGCATTAAAATAAAATATTAAACATGGAGCTGTTATTGATTTCTAAATCGGCGTTTATAAATTCTTATCGTACTTTCCGGTCTTGTCATTTCCGAAATGTCTGGGGAAGTGACGTAACTCAAAGGGACTTCAGCTCCTCCAAGGTTATAAGACCTCATTTATAATTAAATTAAATTCAGTCCAATTCTTTATTGTTATGTGCCGAGTCAGCATCCCCAAGGCTAATTACAGAAACAGCGCAATATAGCTACTGTTTTCACAGCGTTGATACTAACAGTTACATAGAGACACGAACATAAAGACAACGGCCACAATCCCAGTTGCGGAAGATGCTCAGTGGAAAAACTAATATCTCTTATCTTACACAAGAAAGAAAGGCATAAGTGTAATAAAAAAAAAGAAAAAATGAAAATAATAGTTAAATTAAATTTTTTGTTTATGTGCTTACTCAACAAACCAAAGGTAAACAATAATAATAATGATTACAATGTAAAAGTATAACTTTTCCTGCTGTTGCATATGGGTATGAAATATAGCGCTTTTCTTCTTGGATTGATGACGTCTTGGACAGAATGCTGAGGAGAATATTTGTAAATAAGAGGGTAGAATTAGGGACACGCTGTAGCGTAGTTGGTTGAGGCACTATGCTATAGGCCAAGGTTTCGAGTCCTCATGATGTGGATTTTTTCATTTCACCTAAAACTTCCATACTCACTATGGCCCTGGTTTCGACACAGTCTCTAACAGAAATGAGTACCAGGAATCTTCCTGAGGATAAAGGGCGGCTGTCGCTTAAGGCTCACAAACTCACCGCCATATGTAAGCCGATTGTCTAGAGAAAATGTGGAAGCCTCGACGTCTCATAACCCTCTGGAACTTTACGAGCACTTAGAGGGATAGCTTTACATTTAAGAGGGTGGAAGCAATAGGGGGTAGGAGAAAATTGTATGAGGAACTTCATAAATTGTACTATCACCCAATATGGCTATTGTGATAGGAGGGAGGAGATGGGCAAAGCATATAACATTTATGAGGGAGAATAAGAATATATACAAAATGAATATCTCATTCCTGAAGAGAAGAGACCACTTGGAAAACCTGGAGATAGATGGGAGGATAATATTAAAATTGAGTCGTACGAGGCGACGATAATGGAACGCAGTACCTGGAGGTATAACTGATTCATCCTGTTCCTGTGGGATATAAATACAGGGTCCCGGCCCTCCACGTTGGTGGACACTCGAATCTGAGGTAGTAAAATATGGCCATGAGTCCTTGCGGGACTCGGACCCTAGGATGACTGCGCTGTCGATTTCCAGCAGCAATCGTAAAAGACAGACCCACCCTCTCCTCAGAGAAGATGTTACTTAAAAACTATAACCACAAGTGTTCGGTTGAAAGAAATACTGGTCATGAGTCTGAAGGGGCTTTTCTCCACACGAACTGATTGGCGGAAAAGCGCCAGCCGTAATGTTACTGTGTCTCTGACTTTGAGCTACTCGGTTGTAAGAGAGTTGTAACAGAGTCAGTTGTGAGAAAGTTGTAAAGGACTTTGTGAAGAGAAGACTTAGTCGGTGCAGTTGAGAAGCGGAGGCAGAAGAATCTTCACTGTTAGAACCCGTTTCCATGGAAGAATTGGGAAGGATACATCATACCGAAAGAAGAAAAGACTTAGTGCGTGCTGGAGTGATCTGTAATTTTGGAAATAAACAGCGGCACTATAATCAAGTTTAGTCATGTGTAGTGTGTTAAAGTGTTTAATAAATCCAATCTCTATTACAAAACCCTACAATATTGTAACACATACACGTAACAATATTCATTACACAGCTGTATATGCAAGGCTTCGGTTACTATGAGCAAGTGAGTGCTTATAATTTGATCTAAAACTTGCGACGAAAGTAAATTAGTACAAATATTATGTTTCTGGACATTCTCCATCGTCTTTGTCTACAATCACCGCCCTGTTTATCTTTCAAAACACAGGGTTTCGGAGACTCTGGAAATAGAGAGTAGCTCTATCGATTGGGCCTAACTAAGTAGTTTTTACCTGAGGACGGAGACAGAATCCAGTTCCGAAACGTTATGTTTTGAAAAATAAACATGGCGGTGTTTTTAGACAAAGACAATACGATGGGTAATGTCCGAGACACAATATTTGTTCATAATTTGGTCCTTTAGTATTAAATTTCTAAGCATGATAAAATATTTGTATTGCCCATAAGATTACTGCAATATTATGAGAGCCTAGATTACGTTGCATGGTTGTGGTTCCGAAGCGCTAATAATATATAAGTGACACAGAAAGAGCTGGTCTACGAACCACAAAATTTGAACGGTTTGTTATCCCAGGTAACATCATTTCTGTATAAAAGTATATGACTTCAAACATACCCTCGAGCAACTGCTGCATGACTCTGCAGGAGTGACCTCCAGTCCATGGAATAGAGGCTTAGCGTGTCATAATTAAAATAAAACCTAAACATTTGAGGCGATGTTGCATGAACACAGTAATCAATTTTCTGGACATGATCCGTTGCCCTAAGCGTAATTATACGAGTATACATATTTACAGAGAGGCACTAGCTCTATCGATTTGACCCAACAGGACGGAAGTAGAATCAGTTCTCCGAAACGTGGTTTAAAATAAAAATTGAGACGATAAATAATGTCCAGAAAATGTATCATTTTCACTATATAATTTGCAAGAACGTTACACTGGATCTCATGGTATGTTTTCAAGGACCATAGACCAAGAATTATGTAAGTCAGAGCTGTGGAATTTATACCCGGACGCTTAAAGTGCTACAGCAGCTCAGTCAGTAAGGTTG